GTGTGTGTGTGTGTGGAAGAGACAGGGACTAGTAGATGCATTGTATTTGGACTTTCAGAAGGCATTCAACAAAGTACCTTACAAAAGGTTACGTCAACAGATTAAAGTCCATGACGTTGGAGGTAGTACATTGGCATTGATAGAAAATTGGCTCATGGGCAAGAAACGGCAAATGGGGTTAAGGGTTTATCATGTTGGCAACCCATGACCAGTGGGATTCCACAGGGACCAGTACTGGGGCAACAATTGTTTACAATATATATTAATGACTTGGAAGAAGGAAGTGAATGTACTATCGTCAAATTTGCAGATAACAAGAATAGATGGAAAAGCAGGTTGCAAGAGGGATACACTTTATAGAGAAATATTGATAAATTAGTGGGCAAAAGGTTGACAAATGGAATATAGTGGGAAAATGTGAAGTTGTTCATTTTGAAGGGGGGGGAACAAAAAAATACAGAATATTATTTAAATGGCGAAAAACTGCAGAAAACTGCAACACAAAGGGACTTGGGGTACTTGTGTTTCAAACAGATTGCACACAAGTGCAACAGGTAATCAGGAAGGCTAACAGCCCTTACTTCAAGGGGTTAGAGTGTAAGAATAGAAAAGTCTTACTGCAAACTTTGCAAGATGCTGGTGAGATCACATTTGGAGCATGTGAGCACTTTCGGTCCCCTTATTTAGGGAAAGCTATCACTGGAGGCCATTCAGAGAAGATTCACTCACATGATCACTGCTATAAACTGACTGTCTCATGAGCAAAGGCTAAACATGTTGGGACTCAAAAAAATTAAAGAAACAGCAAAATACTGTGAATGCTAGAAATGTTAAATAAAAACAAAAAATGTTGGAAATGTTCAGCCGGTCGAGCAGTATTTTTGGACAGAAACAAAATTAACTTTTCAATTCAATGACCTTTCAACAATACGCAAAAACTCAAATGCTTTAAAGTGAGCAGAAGGGGGAGGGACCTGAAAGAGCCAAAGAGATCTGTGACAGGGTAGATTTCACTTTGCAAAATTCACACAAATGGTAATGGTATTGCAAAGGTACAAAGGTGGTGTCCAGATGAGATATGAATCAACATAAGCAGCGTTCTGTATGTTTTTCATGTGAAAGAATAAAAATACAGAAGCCAGCAAAAAGGAACAGAGGCAGAGACTATGATCTAAAATTGGTTTACTCAACATTGAGTGCAGAAGGCTTGACAGTGCCAAAATGAAATATGTGATGCTATTCCTTGATCTTGCATTGAGCTTGTGCCCTTGTGTTCCAATTTGTTTCTCTCAACAGATGCTGCCCAGCCTGTTTAATTTCTCCATCACATTTCATATTCAGGAAAAACACTACAATGTTTCTGGATTTTAAGACCAGCTCTAAAATATTTAGTTTTAATTTTAAAGGAAGATCAAAACTGCAAGCTCTCTAAATGAATGCACAGAAAATTATTGATTGCTGATTTATAACCACAATACATATAAATCTTGCCAACTTCACCTGCCTTCCATAAGAATTCTGTTCCATGGAACCAACTGTCCATCACACAGAAACATAATCCTGTCCATGAGCAAATTTCTGTCAATGTCACTGGATAGCAATCAAGAAAAATATGGCTGTTTTGTCCCCTCGCCAAGCCAGCAGTGTTGAGGTAGACTGTATATTTTGTTATAAAAACTATATAATTGGCTTGGTAAGTAAATTCACCACAGAGTATGCTTTCAAGTCATAAAGCTAAATTCTGTACCTTGCTGAGCTGAACGAGGGAGGACATCAGTAAGGCAATTACCCTAGGATATGAACAAAGGGAACTAATGAAATCCGTGTGCTGTTTCGGATCCTCTTCTGGCAACTTATGTTGAAATGTAAATTAGTTTTTTTTTTAAAATCCCTCGTGGGATGTGAGCATTGCTGGCTTGACAGCGTTTATTGCCCATTCCTAGTGAATAATAGACAAAGATAATGGTTCAGATGGGCTTACAAAGTAAAACAACCCACCAATAAGTGTTCAGATTCACAAAGAATAGTCACAGTGAACGAAGTGTCAGGAGTTGAACAATGTAGAAAAATAGAAGGAGAAAAGAGTAATTCGTTCAATTCAAATTAAACCGAATTCTTGACATTTACACTGATCACCAATTGGAGACATAAATGCAGAGGTTACAATGTTCAAATTATTCATCCTGCCACCATACACCTAATCTTAGACCATCTAAAGCATCCGACAAAGGATGTATTTGCTGATTTCCAATACTACAATTTTGTGGGCGCATGCTTATAAATAGTAGGAATTAGTTAAATAATTTACAACACCACACAAATACCTGCATGTTGTGACTGTTGCCCTTAGAAAATTCCACAGTTCATTACAAATTATTTCTTCAGGCTTTCTGACCCTTCATAAATTCAACACACTGACCAATGAAATGACAGACAAAATGTTCACTGTGTCAATATTTCAATTTCTTTATTGTTGCTAGGGGGAGTTTAGTTGTAAGTATACCTCTGTGCACAAAAAAATACCAGGTGAAAGGTCACAGTGTGACTGTAGTTTCAGAATTCAACGCCACGTTATGAGCAAAACAAAAGCCAGCAAACTTGGCATGGAACTCTGCACAGTCATTTTTTTAAATTTTTTTTTAAATAAGAACACAGGATAAAATGATCCTTTTAATTCATGTTCTTTTTGAATTCAGCAAAATAATTTCTATAAAATAAAACTGCAAAATATTTAAATATAATAGGGTGGGTTGAGTCTGTTTTGCAGGGGTATTTGGTTTGAGACAAATTCCAAAAAAATACACATTCAAGTTACCAATTTTTTTCCTTTTTAAATACAGTATTTACTGATTATTTCCTCAAAATCCATAAACAAAAATCTAGTTTTGGAATTGAGAATCCTGCAAGAATCATGACTAACCAGCAGTTTTTCTTTTAAAATTACAACCCTGCTTATGTCTGAATTAGTCTGACAGGATGGACAAGGAGCTAAGACAATTTCTTGCTTTCAAGTAGAATTGTGAATGCAACACACTAGCAATCTGCACTCCCCAGTGGCAGTCATGTACATCTCGACTTCTACTTCACTGAGCTGCAGTAGGAGGGAAGTTTAGAAGTTAATCTAAGTAAGCTCTACCGAGGAAATAAAACAAGCACACCAAGTACTGTCTATTATGCTCCAGGCATCCTGGCATAGCAACTGTTGCATATATTTTTCTTCCTTTAAATTCCTATAAATCCAAAACTAATAATCCTTTATCCCACCCATAGACTGCCAAATATTAGATTTGAATATATGTGCAATTGAAAGCCACTTATACTCACATTTTTCTCCAATTGAACCATCAAGGTGTAACAAAAAAAAAACTGAGCAGAGCATTTGCTGCTCAGGGATTTAAAAACTGCTGTCATTAGAATCATCTCTTCTCATTGGCTACACTAATTTGATGTGAAGCCATGCTAAATGTTACAGCATAACTAGAGCTTCAAAATGATTCAACTAATATCAGAATGAAAAAAGGCAATGAAAAAAAAAGTTCCAGATCAACATTACATCACCATTGTCCCACATCAACCAAATGCTAAAAAGTCACCATCAAATAACTCAAAGTAAAAGCAACTCTGGTGGCATGAGTTAACCTTTTTTTGTCTGGTTGAAATGGCCATGTATTTTGAAAATAATCTGATTTGCACCGCCGTTAGGCAGATAACTCTCAATGCTGAGCACAGCTGATAAAGCAAAGATTAGATTTTGTGTTTTTGTAGGTCTGCAACACTCCTCAAGCAAATCAACATTGTTGAGGATTTAACAGTCAAACATTAATATACTATATACACCTTGCCATTTATACATTAGCATTGGGCCATTTATTACAAAACACTATACACTTTTTCCACTGCAGGCAAGTTATATGTTAACAGCATTGCTCTGCAGGGCAGACAGTGAATAGACTCTCTCCATTCCAGATTGGACAGTTTTTTTTCTTAAAAAGGTGTTTCTTGCACTGGTGTAGACAGACCCAGAGGAGGTTGAACTGTAAGGCCTGGGCACGTGCTCGAGCCAGTGTCTTTATCAGGTACATTGGAGAATTATCTGCCAGTTAATCTTTTGCTTGTGATGCAGGAATGTCTTCGCTGCTTTCCCAATTTTCTTGAGCTCGCTGACCTGTACGCTGAGGATTGTTCATATGGTGTGCCACAGGGCCGGTGTATGGCTGACCATGCAAATGGTTATTCTGTGAATTAAAAAGATACAGTGGAGATATTTTAGGAGCAAAATTAAATCAAGAAAGCTGTACATTTTATCTGCAAAACCTAGCAAAGTAAAATTCACAATATGTTCAAATAAATCAAAGAAATGTTAAGTTTGTGTAATGTGCACTGTGAAAGCTCCCAATCACAGTTGGGATGTAGAAAATGTCACATAACATGGCTGTTCACTTTGTTGAAGCTGAAAGGAATAGTTAAGAAGGTGAAATAGAAACTAAAAATAATAAACGTAGCCCACTGAACATTCTACAAAAAAGATAATACATTCAGTCCAAGAAGTACATTGCCATTTCTTTTCTTTTGGAAATCATCTTTCAGGTAAATCAAATAACAGAATAATTAATATGATGGCCCACTTGGAATATGTCTTCACACTAAAACCTAAGACTTGAACACAACCTGGACTGATATCTGAATGCAGAACTGTGTGCGCTGCATCGTTGAGGGGTCATCTTTTAGATGAGATGTTAAACCAAAGTCAAAGATCCCATGGCACTTGCACAGACGACCAGAGAGTTCAAGCACTTGGGAACATCCAGGTGTTTTGAAACCCACATTTCTTTCTTCTTACCTGGAAGAGCTGTCTTCACACTTCGAGTGATATGCATTTTCCACAATCTTATTGTGTGAAAGAAGTAGAATTAAGAATTAAAATATTAAAAATTCTTTGTTTCAAAAATATGTGCATTCTATTTATTCTTAATGCTATTTCTAATATTGGCTTTTATACTAGAAAACCGGAATACAGGAGATTAGAAGTGATGCCTCAGCTATAAAAGAAGTCCTAGTTATACTACACCTGAAGTATTGAGTACAATTCTGGACACCAAACTTAGGAACTGGCTTTGGAAGGAGTTTAGCATACACTTACCAAAACAAGAGTTGAACTCTGAAGCTAAAAATCACAGAAGTAACTTAAATGAGAAAAGTATTCCCCAAAATTTAAAAGGTTATGGATAATCTGTTCCAAGTTTTCAAAATATTTCTGCTGATTAGGGAGCCAGGACTCCATAGCACAAGTTAGGCCTTTCAGGAGTGAAATTAGGAGAGACACTTCTACATACGATGATAGTTGAAATTTGAAAGTGTCTTCTCTCCAAATGACAATTGATTCTAGATCCACTGTTAGATTTAAATCTAAGACTGGCCAAATTTTGTTAAAGATCCAAATATGGGGGAAAGGTCACCATATGGAGCTAGGCCACAGATCAGTCAAATTTTATTTAATGAAGCAGAAGGCTCAAGGAACCAAACAGCCTACTCATGCTAGTATGTTCCAGGCAGTGGATATTCAAGGCACCCAAATCCATAGTTACAATTTACCCAGGAACTGCAAAGCATCTCATTCCTGAAATCTAGGAAACTTGCAATGAAGCACCCACCGACACAAATGTGACTACAAACTTAGTAGAATCGTAAGCTTGCATGTCAGGATAAATGGGAGAGGGCTGTATCATTTATAAAAGTAATTGTAATCCAAGGGATTGAAAAGACTTAAGATTTCAGCAAAGAACCAAGAATTAGGTAAAGATAAAAGAGTTAACAAAATAAGTGAGAAGACTTTAAACATTTCTATAGGTACATAAATAGGATGATATTAGTGAAAGTAAATGTGGGTTCCATTAAAGGCAGTGGTGAATAAAATTATAATTGGGAAAAAGGATATGGCAGAAACATATTTTGCATCCATCTTCAGGTAGAAGACAATCAAGTCCAAAAATAATGGAGAATCATATCTTAGCAGAATAAAGAACTTAAAGAAATTGGGTTAGCAAATAATACTGGAGATATTAACAGGATTAAGTGGTAACAAATCCTCTGAACCTAATGACCTGCACCCTAGATTTTAAAAAAAAGAGGTAGCTGTAGAGGTGATGGATCTATTAGCTTTGAACTTCCAGTACTCCTTCGATTCTAAGGCAGCTCCCAAAGATTGGAAGGTAACCCTAAAATTTGAGAGGAGAGAGAAAATGGGGATCTTTAGGACAGTTAGCCTACCAGTAGCAGGAAAAAGGCAGCAACTATTATTAGGAACATTTAACAAAGAGTCAGCATAAATTTGTGAAAGGGCAACTTTTTGACAAATATGCTGGCCTTTTGTGGGAATGTATGTAATAATATGAATGACGTGCTATACAAAACTAGGAGTCATGGGATCTGGAGTAATATTTTAGGATGTACTTAGGCTCGGTTGATGAACATAAAACAGAATCGGAATGAATGCGACATATTCAGGGTGGAAGGCTGTAACTAGCATGACAGTGCTTTTTGAACAAACGAAATAAGTTACTTCTGAGAACATAAAGAGTTTAACTCACTGTTTACTTTGTCATGTCACAAATGTCAATGAGGATGCAAAATGCCTGCAGTGGGGCAGGGGCAAGTCGATGAGTGGGCAAAACATGGCATACAGAATATAATGTGATAAAATGTGAAGCAGTTGAATTTGGTGGAAAATAAAAAGAAAATTGAATGCTGAGAGACTGAGAAACATTTGCATCCAGATGGACCTGGATGTCCTTTCAAGAAGAGTCACAAGAGGTTAACATGCAGATACACCAAGTAATTAGGAAGGCAAATAGTATGTTAGCTTTTGCTACAAAGGGAGTGGTGTATAAGAATACACAAGATTTATTACAATTATACAGGGCATTGATGAGGTCATACCTGGAATACTGTGTGCAGTTTTGGTCTCCGCACCCAAGGAAGGACATACTTGCCCTAGAGGGAGTGTAACAAATGTTCACTAGACTTGTTCCTGGAATAATGGAATTATCCTATGAGTAGAACAGGCCTATATCATCTGGAGTTTAGAAGAAATCTATTCATCAAATTGAAACGTAAAACTTGTAAGGGATTAGACAAGTTATATATTGAGAATGTGATTCCTTGCACTGGAGAATCTAGAATTTGGGGTCCCAGTATCAGAATCAGGTACCAGGCATTTAGACCTCAGATGTGGAGAAATTTCTGCAACGAGTCCCGCATTTCTCTGAGTCCAAAGAGTTGTGAATATTTATTTGTTCAGGAGACTCAAAATAGATTTTTGAGGTACTAGTCAATTAAGGTATACTGTTAGAAGGTAGCGTTGAGGTAGATCAGCCACAGTTGCATTCAAGAATAGGGTAGCTTGAAAGGCCAACCCCACCTTTTTTTAAAAAAGTTTTTGTCTTATAAATTTGAAAATAGTTCGCAATCATACACTATTTATCACACCTTCAGGATGTTCCAAAGCATTTCAGAATCAATGGGATTTCTTTTGAAGCAATTACTATTGTTGGTAGTTAAATGCAGCTGTCAATGAATTTATGGCCTCAACTGGCAAAATTAAACAACACAATTCATTTTGATTGAGGGAAACATTGGTTCGAACAGCAAGAGAGATTCTTAGTTATGTGAATAGTCCCAACTATCTCAGAAGACTTACTGACTTTGAATCCCTACAGTGTGGAATCAGGTCATTCAGCCCATCAAGTCTGCACCGACCCTCCAAAGAGCATTCCACCCCAACCCACAACCCCTATCCTATAATTCCATGGCTATTCCATCTAGACACTATGGGCAATTTAGCACAGCCAATCCACCTAATCTGCACACTTTTAGACTGTGGGAGGAAGCTGGAGCACCCAGAGAAAACCCATACAGACACAGGAGAATGTGCAAGCTGCACACAGTCGTCCATGGCTGGAATTGAACCCGGATCCCCTGGAACTGAGAGGCAGCAGTGCTAACCTCTGAGCCATTGCTTGTTCTCATATCCATTTTAGAACAGTAGTTTGGTTTAACGTCTCATTTGCTTCTGACTGCACAAAATTCCTCAGAATTGAGATATTGGTGAAGATGTGTCCTCAAGTATGTATTGGGTTTAAATACAATACTTTGTGATTTAAAAGGCGAACTGTGCTACTGACCAAGGCAAGTAAACAGTGATGGCACATCTATGTGTATATGCAGCCCCTTGAATGGATGATGTTAAAAGAATTCTCAAGAACAAAGGTTCCAAAATTGAACATAGAAAGCATTATTCAAGTGTGTTATACAGGTCTGTATATGATAAGGGTGCTACCCACCCTTTCATTGCTGTCTGCCTCATTTCAAACAAGGGGTTGAGATTATGCATTCGGAGTCAAATCAGAAGTAGAATGGCTAGGTTACAACTGAAGGTGGACTGGGATTCTGGAGAATAGTTGGAACAGGAAGCTACAGCAGTGGTTAAGGGTTGAATGTTAAATTAAATCTTTAGACAAAGACTTAAAATAAGAAAGGTAACGCCAAATAGCACCACAACAATGAAGGTTAGCATACAGGCTATACCCAAGTTGTCCCTTGAAATTGCAACATGCAGGCAGTTGCACAGAAATAAAACTTCAAGGATTTGCAGAATTAAATTGCCATGCAGTACACAAGAAAGACAATGTCAGTTACAGGCAAAGGGGGAAAATGAAAGCTATGCAAGGTTAGAAGTTGGTGACAAGGAATAATGGAAAAAAAAAGTAGGTATGGTAACAAGTCTGGTGCTCTGGGTTGAGCAGAAAGCAGAGAGGAAAGAGAAATGAATATGAGAGGAATTGGTTACACCAACAGAAGCAGTTAACACTAGCAGAGACACCAATAATGGTGGCTATTATCTCTATGATGCTTCATATTTATTATTTTTTCAGGAGTTAGGGTTTGAAGGCTTATGGGGAAAACGGACTTCAAGTTGGTGGAAATTTGAGTAATTTCTTGAGTAGATCATTAAAAGGTCACTATGGACATTTGAGATTTTGTTTTAAATACAAGGCATCTTACTGATAGCTGCTTGCTTTGCTATAGACTTCTGCTGGGGCTATTTTGAGCAATGACTAACTTGGACAGTGTGCTTTGGAGTCTGGAATTAGTTGGGGACATGAACGAGCTAGGTTGGGATGCCCAACTGAACTTTTATATTTGTGAAAGAACCATTTTGTTCAGTCCAGGGTTAAAC